ACTCATTAAAAAATAGAAATATTAATAATATTAATAATATGAATCGAATATTAATCAGTAAAAATAATTATTAGTTGCTTCAAGCTTCAATACTGTACCTCTCGTATTCATGGTCTTGGCATCTGTGATAAGGATCCTGCACTTCATAGATGTCTGAATCTGCTGCATCCGGATCATTTGGCCACCCCAGCCTCGCACTGTGAAACGGCAGGTTCATATACTCGGGGATTTCCTCATACAGAGGAACGTTCTCATACTCCACTGATCCCTCTCCACCGTCTCCACAAAAATCAGCCTCCCCTATGCAGCTATTGGGCCGCTCCAGGCTTCTCTCCCCCCGGTTTGACTCCACACTGGTACAGTCCAGGGACTGCCCTCCCTTGGCCAGCAGCTTTGGCAGCATCTTGACAGACAGCCTGAGCTCCAGGAGCTTCCGGAAAGAGAGGCCCCTCTTTTGAGAGTTGGCCCGCATTGCCAGGTCGGCTGCAGAGAAGGACTGCGCCCTCTGCTTGCCCCCCAGCGCCGGAGCTCGGCCTTTTGGCGGCACGCTGCTCCTGGTGGGGATCTGCCGGCTGAAAAAGGTCACGCAGGGTCGGGTGAAGCGCCAGGGTGTTTTCTCCTGAGGAGGCGCGGGCAGCTCCCTCATGGGGGTGTTAGCATGTGGCGGTGCAGGAGGGCAGATGGAGGGTGGAGGGGGTGCTGGCAGGCTGTGTCTTTGAGGTTTTCTAGGTGGCGCCCTCGGCGACGGCTGATCCTCTGCTGAGAAGGCTTTCCTGGAGTTAGCCAGGGGAGGGTGGCAGCCCAGTTTGATCTGCTTGGGGAGGCTGTGAGTGATCGGGTACCGCTCAAAGTCACCGTACCCGTCCTCCTCATCCTCGTCCACCCGGTGCTCCTCGCCCTCTTTCTTCATTGATTCGGGTTGTGAGAGCACGACTAAGGAGTGCGAGGTGTTTTTGTTAAGTGAGTGGGGTGTGTAGACTGTTCTGTGGAGGCGAGGCGACAGCGAGGTCTGTCGTGGAGGGGGGACAGGCGCGTCTGGCTCATCGTCTCCCACACCTGAGTCTTTTTGGGGTAAAGGGTCGTCACTTATGTCCTGTTTGAGCTCCTCGCCCTCTGAGCTGAGAGCAGCCAGACTCAGTCTCGCCTCAGCCTCTCGCATCTGGTCCTGGGCACCGGCCTCCACGCCGTCCTGCCGCACCAGGGCCGGCTTTTTAAGTTTTCGCGGGTGAGGGACTGGGAGAGGTTTACTGGGGGCAGCAGGAACCTGCATATCAGGGTGTAACCTGGTAGGAGAGGCTTTGCTGCATTCTACCTGAAAGGATTCTGCAAGAAACTCCTGAGGAGTGATACTTGAGAAGACGATGATGCTGCCTGCAACATCACAGGCTGGCTTAGAGTCTGTTAAACGTGTGTTTTGGTCGTCAGTGTGTACATCCACTTTGGACTCATCAGGCTCTGCGCTTTCCTGATGTTTTACAGCCTCTGCAGCTTTCCCCCTCTGTTCCTCAGTCCTCTCTGCCTCTTTGTTTACCGACCCCCTGTCCAGGTGTCTCTGTCTTTGAGGTTTATCCCTGGGCTTTTTGCTAAACCCTCCGCCTTCACCCTTCTCCACAGTGACTCCCTCCTCCCGGTTTTCTGCTTTCTCTCGTGGCCTCGTCCCAGTGAACCCCTCTGTAGAAATCCCATTCTGCAGCAGATCTTCGTGCAAATCGCTCCCAAGCTCAGTTACACCTCCATTTTCCAGGCGCTGGCATTGGGAACAGTCCTGGAGCCCACAGGAGCAGGTGGGAATGATGTAGTCCGATTCACGCTTGCTAGACTCTGATAAAATCCCATTTTTGGAGTTGAGAAGTGAGAGGCTGTCGTCTAAAGCTTCCTGAGAAAGGATAAGGGTTTCATTGGGTTTCGGTGGTGGGGGTGAAACAGGCGGAGAAGAGGCTGCAGATTTGGGGATGCATGGTTTAGGGGCAACAGCCGGTTTTGTCCTCTTAAGAGTGGCGGGGGAAGGTTGGGTGACGACTGAAGACTGGGTGAGGAGTCCCGGTTTGGGGGCGATGGGAGGGGGAGAGGGTTTGGTGGTAGCAGGGAGTTTAGGTTTGGGAGCTAATGGAGGCTTCTTCACACCTGCACGTAGAGAAGAGGGAGGAGAATTACAGAAACATTATTCACTCAAACTTCCTTTAAAATGAATCATACAGCGCATACAGGATGCTTCAACCACACCTCCTCTAATAGACGCACAGACAGCCGCAAACTGTGGGTAAGACCAGGGTCAGAAAGGTCACTTTCAGGGTCAGAGGGGAAGAAGTGAGGGTGGGGCTAATGTATGAATTAAATCCAAGGATCAGAATCAGCCTGTTGGTCTCAAACATCCTGTTTCGTTAGTCTTGTCACTCACATCTTCTCTTCTGAATTGTTTGTATTTATTAAAGTGTAACTAACTAATTATTGAATAATCTGTATTTTACATCTCTCACAGCAAAGTTCAACTGGATTATTCAATTCTGATTCACAATTAAATTGGTGCCCTCCTTCCTGTTCTTGGAACTGAGTTACACTAAACTCTATTGTACTGCATGTATTCTCCTCTTAACCACTAAATATTTACTATAAAATAAAAAAAAAGAGGGAATATTTGAAGTTGATGAGACAATCATGTCTCACTGGAATCAACCTGTTTAAATAAAGTTGAAATGAAAAAAACTGAGTCTCTACACTAATAAAACGCTGTGAACTGACATCGTAGGCCATATTTTCCGCTGAAACTCTTGGCTGGCCGACACCACGAGAAGTGGAGTCATCGAGCGGATGTTTCCGAAAAGGCCAACAACCAAAAACCGCTTTGCCCCCGATACACGCTGCTGTGCCTGTGTAGACAGAACCTCGCTCTGAACTCCGTTTAAAAATCTATAAATATAAAGTCATTCTGCTTAAAAGCCATTATCCAGAAGTGGTGGGACAGTCATTAACTTTACTACTATTCAGTGAGAGCCACTTTTCAATTCGGCATACATATTCTATTAGAAATGTTCACCTTTAAGAAGTGGTACACCCCTCACTCACCCAAAACTTACAGCAAAATTCACCGAGGATGGCGGTGGTGAGCAGGGGGAATGGATCTACAACTTTACCCTGCTCTTACTTGGTGTTTATTAATAAGCCGAATTTGCCAATACATGCTAAAGACACAATCAAAGTTATTAAACTATGTCTTCTGATATTTATAAGTCTACCAGTAACAGAGGAAACATTAAACAGCCAGATTTCTAAGCGGAATTTGGCCTTATGTTTTCGCCGTAAAAGACGCTAACCCTAACGCCAGGTTATCTGAACAGAAACCGCTCATGTCGTGAAAAAAACAATCATAAAACTTTATGGCACATATCCAGTTGGGTAAAATGAACTCACTGAGGGCATCCCTCCTCATCCACACAAATGTTAACCGTTTTAAATGAGATGTTAATGTTGCAGCTTATTATCGAGTCCGAGTTGCTGCATCAACAGCAGGACAGATGTTTTAAGACAAAGGATTTAACCCCCTCCAGCTGCAACTGTGGCTGTAATAACAAACGGAAAAAGGAAAATTTTGATTGTGAGTTATAATGGCGTTTTTAGAAAGCACTGAAACTGAGGCTGAGTCCTCTTTTATATCTTTTTGAAAGCTGTTATTAAGAAAAACTGTAATTAACTGCGGCTGCGTAAAAATAGAGTGGATGCTATCGACCGTTACAACACTCAAAGTGGAGAGTTCCGAGTTTTTCGCGATTAAACTCTAAAATATAAAAAGTGTTTGTATTTAGTTTTAGCTAACCTCAGCAGGATTTTGCTCAGTTAACTTAGCTCCCCCACGAAACAAACCTGTGCTCATGACTCCCGACTTGCTCCTTTCTCCATGAGTAAATTTACTTTCAATGGAATTGCGAGAAAATCTGCGTTTTTTCCTCCTTCGACACCATTGTCAGTTTGAAACCAGCTCCACGGAGAAAACATGCAGATCCATCGCTGTTGTTCCTTATCTCTCCAGCGGATGCACGGATAAAGTCCTTACGCCTGTTACTTTTTTCATTTTTCCCGAAGTTTTCGGCCACGGTGCTTTTCCCAATAGTGTCAAGTACGACAGAACAAGACAACACGTTTCCGGTTACACTTTTCAAAAATAAATCAATTGCTGAAGCTGATGTATTTCAGGTGTTGGAATATGACATTTTTGACTCAATGTGATCTGGAACCTTTTTGTCAATAATTATCTCACACAGTTTTGATTTAATACATTGTGTGCAAACCACATTTTAAAAAAAACACTGCATTTCACCAAAAGAGGTTACAACTTGAATGAGGTTTTTAAAGCACCTTAATCATGAGTTTCTGATTTACAATGAAAAATTCAGTACATTTACAACATTAAGCCATTTTTCAAATGTCACCATATTTCTCATGCACACCCAGTCTATGCTATGGACTCAACAGGTCAAATGTTGCCATCTTGAGATTTTTTTCAAAATGTATTGGTAAAGAAATACGTTTGGTTTTCAAATATTACAGAAGTTGCTTCAAATGACCCAAAATTCTGTTTATATAGGATATACTAAAGTACACTGTCACATCAATTTTGTCAGTCAATGAACTAATCAACGATTTGTTTCAGCTCTAAAATCTACTGTTGAAGAAGTTTTGCTTCAGTTGTTGGAATATAAAGTAAGGCACAAATGTGAACATAAAATTGTATTCAGCTGTATATTTTTAGCAAATGAAAATGCATTTGCTGCATTTCCTATTTACAGCATTATCGATAAAAAGTGTGTGGATTTTATTTTGAAGGTAGTTCACCTGCTGTTTTCCACTAACTTCACACCCCTGGCTTTCCCAACGGTTGCCTCTCGCGACCACTTGGGGCGGTCTAACTCGCTCGAGCGATTGATCGTTGCACGCGAGGAAGCGGCGGTTGAAGGCGAGCATCAAGGGAATTGTAGTTTTACGCGAAGTTTAGCCACCGGCTAACTATCAACTTCTCAACGGCTGTTGCCGACTACTGTCGCCTACAACTTCATAATGCTGAACGGGCTGCGTATAGATGGCGGAGAGCAATGACTGAAGAGTTCGATGAAGATGTGGTATTTGAGGTTTGTATCTTTGCCGCTGTTCTTTATCGAAACTTGTAATGCTTTGTCATGCCTCCTGAGGTCTGAGGTAAATATACCGCGCAAGATTCATTAACACGACAGCTAGCTTAGCGAGGCTAGTAGGCATGCTAGCTTCACAGAAGCAGCCGTTTGCCCTGTTGCTGTGCATTGTCAGTGCAAAACAAATCCACATATCTGGCTGGCGGATAAATGGGTTCCTGCCAAGGAGCTTTGGTGGTCATGAGAGCTGCTGAGCTGGGCTAGTGGGCGCATTGTTGTAGGTGTTTCATCATTACTAGACTTGCTGGAGGTGGGGTGGGGATGACCAGATTCAATGCGTCGGTTCTGAAAAAAGGACACACACACATACACATACACACACACACACGCGTAGCTACATCTGGATGGTGACAACATGAGCTGCGACTTCGTGTGACAATGCATGTGAGTAGCATTTCGTTGTCTTGACTGCTATCTACAGTGTGTTGTGGTGGGTGATGGTTGATTACATTAAAATGGGATGCTCACATCACACAGCACAGATGCTCAGAGTGATGTTTTCCCAGCAGCTGGCAGAGAAGTGGGTCAGGCATCTTTTGGGCAAATTCTAGCATGGGATGTTTCTCCTCCTCTATGCTTATTTCATGGCTGATTTGGTTCTGAGCTTTCTCTGTTCAGGGAAAGAAACAGCATCGCCTGTGTTTAATCTTATGCAAGAAGATCGGATTATTCCATGATAACTTGTGCTCACATTTCGTGTCCAGTTCCCAGGCTGGAGAGAGGAATTAAGGGGAATCTTGGCTGCATGGAAAGGCTCAAAAGACAATCCTGGCATCTGTGTGTGTGTTGATTTACACATTGACATGTGAAAGCAGCAGGCTTTACAGCATTCTTCCCAGAATAGAAAAGTAAGTGGCATGGAGGAGAGATAGAGGCTATGGATGAGGGTGGAGTCTCAACTTCAGCTGATGAATCCAGAGGGCAAAGTAGACCGGCTCAGCGAATCGGTGATGCTTCTCCCTTCGCTTATTAGTGTTCAGATACCTTTGGATTCACAATGGGGAAAAACTACAGAAAAATCAGGATCAGTGTCAGCTCGACCCGCATGAGGCTGATGACCTAATCACCACATTTTCTTTCCTTAGCTTCTTCTCTATCCATCTGTCTCCCACCCTCCTTCTCATCCATCACTGTTCAGTCTCTGACTGTGTCTCTTTCTCTTTTTCTCTGCAGAACTCTCCTCTTTTCCAATACCTGCACGATCTAGGGCACACAGACTTTGAGGCATGTCCAACGGCATCACAGGAGGAGGAATATGGCGGACAAGAGGGAGACCTCCCCTCTCCTGACGAAGATCCACAGAAAACTTCAGTGAGTTTCTCAGTCACTGTCACAACTGTCCCACAAGCCACTGCTGCCAGCTCTGCTGTTCTCGCATAAATGAATGATTTGTTTTCTTTAGCTAAGCTTGCTGATTCAATTGAAACATTTAATTTCATCTCTGATGTGTTAGTTTTTTTCACAAGGAAACAGGAAATTTGCAGCCAGGTGAAAAACAGAAAACACATACATAAATAAATACATAAAACATATAACAAAGATATGCAAAACATAAGCTAAGCAAGCTCACATGAAATAATGAACATCAATGACAGCATGCACAGAAATAACACCTGGTGTACTTCCAGTCATCATCCATCAACCATTAAACAACAAGCAGAATGAATGCTTATAGGAGGCTAACATTGTAACTAGACTAACTGATGTTAACTATTCACCTGTCTTTTTCTGGAGACTGGAGCTGTAATACTTAATTTATTGGGTTATTTAACAGGCTCGTGCACTTTAATGAAGATGACTGTAAATGTGCCAAAAGGCTGTTTTCATATCCATAGCTCACCATGAAGTAGATCGTAAAACGTAAAAGTATAAAAGCAATAAATAATCATATTAAGGCTCCAACTAAGCATTATTTTCATCATCAGTTACTTCAGTCAGTAAGAATAATTGTAATTTATATTCTTGAATAATTGAATAAGTGCTGTATAAAATGTGAATAAATGGTGAAAACTGAGAACTGAGAAATATATTGTGGCCAATATATCATTGTAAACTGAATGTCCTTCAGTTTGAGACATTATAGATCATTGATTTCTTGAATAGTTGTGAAAATGGTCTCCAGATGAATTGATAATGAAAATAATCAGTAATTGCAACCCCAAATTAATCAAATGATCATTTCAGTTGTAGATCATATGTCAGAAGTTTCTCGTCAGGTCCCTCTGTATCCGTATCCTTATCCAGCAGCCTCCATTATTTCTCTCCAAACGATCTGTATCCCTGACCCGGTTCGTGGTGTGTTTGTGTGTGTGTGCACGTGTGAATGTCACTGTTTGAACTGTGCAGTCAGACAGAAAGTAATTAATTTGGCTATTGACTCAGACACATATACTAGCACGCAGTCACCCACAGACTGTTATGTATACTGGTTTACATGCTTCACTTCAGTCAGACAAGATTAGGCAGACATGGCGCGAAGGGCTCCGTGCACACACTTACAGGTATTTCGTGTTGCATGTTCTTTTCTCTGATCACACACAGCAGATTTACTTTAAGCATGAGAAACTCTGGCTCTTGTGCCTGGTGTTGTGCTGATTTTAGAAGAGATAGCCCAAATGCGATTACTGAGACTGACTCTGCTTTCTCTCTGACGTTATTCCTGCCTCTGTGAGCATCCTCTTACAAACTGTGTGTGTCTCTGTGTGTGCGTTCTGTTGAAAATCACATGTGTATGCCTGTTTTAATGGCCCTGTGCGCTCTACAACTCTGCAATCAAAGGATTAAAAGTATGAACTTTTAATGGCACTTGCATTCATGTAACAGTCGATGACTGTAGTATGAGTTGACCTGTGATTCAGTCGGACGAGTAATGCCTCCTGGGAAGCTCAGAAAGGATCACATGACTCTCATCCTCTCCTCGTTCTCCCCCCGCCTCTTGCGACGGGAAGCTGTGTTGTGTTTTCTTCATTCAGGAACTTTCCGTGCGTGTCATGCTTCCTCTCTGCTACACTGTTGTTCTAAGGAGTAAAGGAGGATGAGGGATTCAGATCAGACAGGAAAGCTTTAGGGTCGTCCCTCTGTGACCAGTTTCCTGAAGCCCAGAGAAAGTCGGAACCGAGGCAAACAGTTTGTTCACGTTGACAGAGCGCACTGTTTGTTGTTCATTAGCAGTAAAGGGCCAAACTGAGCTATCATTTGTGGTATGACCAGTATGTGCAAATGTCCTTGACCTGACATGCTGATATTTTGGAGGTCATGTAAATTCATCTGTATGTTTATACTGTTTTAGTAACATTACATAATGCATTCCTTATACCCTCTCGTGATCGTAAAGGATTTTAATCGTAGTCTCAGGTCTAAATGTGAGTGTGAAGCTCTGGACTTCAGGTGTTCAGTTGAATTTTTAAATTAAATGTGTCTCATGTAGTCACGCAGGAGATGAGACATTAAATATTGGAAAGATGAAACATGCTTCGGCTTAGTGTTTTACAACATCACATTTACATATTGTATAACCATATCTTCCTGGTTGAGTTCTTACTTTGTGGTTTTCCTGCTGAAGCAAATAAGTGAGCATAGGAGTAAACGGGAGGATTGCCTTTAGCCAGCCAGTATGTAAACTGCTGCACAGTCATTCTCATCTGCCCTAACCTAGAGCTGAAGCAATTAATCTACAACTGTGCAGATAATTGATGAATCATTTGAGTCTTTTGTTTTTTTAGCCAAAAATGTCAAACATTCTTTGGTCCCAGCTTCGCTAATGTAGGATTTATTGCTCCTTGTTATTATATATGACGTTAAACTGGACTGTTGGTTGGACAAAACAAGGAATCTAAATACATCACTTTGGGCTTTAGAAATGTGTAGTGGGCTTTTTTTCTGTTTCTCTTTTATTGACCACACTGTTAGTCAGTTAATTGGGAAAATAATGTGCAGATTAACTAGGATTGAAAGTCATTAGTTGCAGCATACTGTAAAACCTTATTTGCCTGGGTGATTTATTACAGTTTGGTAACACTGCTTCTTAGGCAAATATAGGATCATAACTGTACATTGGAGGATTGCTTTGAGCCAGTATATAAACTGGTACAGTGCACCCTTCTCCAATCACCTTTCTTTTCATTTTTATGCACTTTATATTTACTGTCAGTGTTGCAGCTAATAATTATTTTCATTATTTATGAATTTCTCCATGTTTTAAACCCAAAACCCAATTTACATTAACAGTGATTTAAAAATATATATTTATATGAAACTGGGCTCAGAGAATGACACAGTCAGTGGTGTATAAGTATGAATCAGTTACTAGAATTGTCAGTTAAAGGGTATTTGTAAGTTTTGCTAGCCTGGTAAGTAAACAGCTGGTAATGCTAACGTTAGCTATGTAGCAATAGCATAAACTTACATATACATTAGCTCCTTTAAGTTTCTGCCAGTTGAATAAACGACTGATTGATTCTGCAGCACCTGTTGTACAAATACACGTTATCATACCCAGTTGCCTGCGCTGAGTGTGTTCATTGTCTCACATAGTAAAAAAAATGAGTGTAGGGTCTGGAAGCTGAAGTCACACCAGCAGAATACTGATGAGCAAAAACACGACCGAGGCAGGATATTAACTGCAGCGAGAGTTTTAACCTGTACAAGGTTTACATCACCTCTGTGGTAGCATCAGATGGGATTTGCTGCTTTGACACCGGAGAGGAGACTGAGCAGAGTCGTGCCCTAGTTTGTGAGTGCACACACACACACACACACACACTGTTGGCTGAGACTGATGACCAGTGTTGTGTGAATGCCCAGTCCTGAAGCTCAGTCTCCAATCAGTAATCAATATGACTGCGGCCTTTAGACTAATAACACTTGCGCTTTACCCCCCAGAAAAGGGTCAGCGTGCAGGCTGCCCAGTCTGGATCAATAACCCCATGTTTTTGCCACGAGTGGGAGCCCACACACACACACACACACACACACACACACACACACACACACACACACACACACACACACATCACAGGATGTTATTATCTACAGGATTCTCTGTTTTTTAACTGAACAGATAAAGAATAAAGCCAAAGGCTCAACATACAAACATCTCTCAGTTCCCATTTCTGAAACAAAGAATTTCAGTGATGCCTCTAAACAACTAAGTAGATTAGTGAATAGTAGATCCTATTCATGATTAGGCTTTACACAGTTTAGGATTGTTTCCAGGCTCTTAGCAGTTGGAAGAAAAACTTACAACATCTTGAAACGCCTGAGGTTTGTTCTGAATTGAAATGTCAGTGCACTTAAAAGGTGAAGCTGTCTGGACATCTCAGAGTGTTTACACTGGAAGTCCCCCGGTGCTGGGAATAGAGAGACTCCTTGGAAGCAAAGAATGAAACAGAAATGTGTGTCTCTGTGAACTGTAGGCGAACAAAGTTTTTGTTTTTATTTTTTATTTTCTTTTTTTGGATCTATAAAAGAAGCCTTCCTTTCTGTCTGACAGCTGTGTATTGCTGAAAGGATAAAAGTTTGAGTTTTATTGATGCCGAAAATGTAAACACTTAGTTATATTTCCAAAGTAGAAAATCCAGTAGTGATGTGGTTTTTGTGCCACAGTGCTGCTATAAAAGACCCCGGAGCGAGTGTTGCACAGACACACATTGCACTTATTGTTGTTGCCTGAAAGAGTTTGTCTCCGGGGATACTCCTTTAGAGTGAGAGCGAGTGTGCGTGCACACTTGTTATTGGTTGTGTGTGATTACTGGGAAATGCAGTCAAGGTTAGAGCAGCACTTCAGAAGGACTGTAAGGATTGCAGGTGAATCATTTAGTGTTTTAATATGGAATATATTTCAACTTAAATGATCCACTGGGGCTGAATTAGAGAATAAAGCGCTGAATAAAACTGCAGTGGGGCTCTTACTTAATTGGCTGTATTATAATCTTGTCCCTGTGTGTGACTTGCAGGGAGGATGGCTTTGGAGACTGGCTGAGACCCTGTGGAGATGGAGCCCGATTCACCAGGCAGCTGCATCTCATAAGCTGGAGCAGCAACTGGTACGGTCGACTGGGAAACAGAAAGGAATGCTGACACTAAAACTTCCATCACCTTCCCTCTGTTTTATTCTTGAAATGTCTTCAAAAAATGTTCTTTCCTTCCATCTGGCAGGACTGCGTGTTCGGCCAGTACTCGGTGAGGTGCATTCTGGACCAGGACGTGCTGCTGCAGGAGGATGTGGAGCTGATCGAGCTGTTAGACCCGAGCCTGCTCACCCTCGCCTCCTCGCCCTCTGGCTCACCCAGCCGAGCGAGCACCCTGCCCAGACCAAGCCTCATTGCCAGGCCCTCCCTATGGTACATGCACACACATACACAAACGCACACACACACACACGTACAGTGGTGGGGCAAGATAATTGGATCACCAGAGAATATAATACTTTCCAATACAACAGCAGCACAAACTGAAACTATAGCCTGACACAGTTGAATCAACTCCCCTTATAGTATAATACTGTTTCTTAGATATTCTTTACTACAAGGAAAAGGTACTGAGTTGCATATGTATTTGTAATTTTCAACGCTTTTTGACTTTGTGATAAAAATGCTAGAGCTGTTTTAGTTAAGTGAAAATTGAGTTAAGAATACTGACTTCCCTAAACATCCAAAGTATCCACTCTCCTTAAGGCAACTCAGTTGAGTCTTCAGAACCTCTCTGCGTGGTAAACACCCACATGCCAACAAATTTGTTTCCTCTAAACCCAAACTCGATTACCCTAATTTTGTAATCGTGAAGATTTCAGTCCTGGATCTGATTCTGATGCTGCACACGGCGCAAGTAACAGCAAGGCGCAGTGAAGTCGGTCACCTTCATCTGGCAGCTCAGTGTGGCTGTTTGAATCAGAATCAGAATCAGAATCAGAATCAGAATCCTTTATTGATCCCAGGGGGGAAATCAGGTTAGGTTACTGTTAGGTTAGGAAGTAGATTACAAAGGTAAAGATAAAAAGATAAAGAATCATATAATATAATCATCAAATATAAAAATACTTATGCGATAATATATAAATGAATAAAAAAGAGAAAATATGTAAAGCTATGTGCATGAAATTGCACTTGTCTGAAGTGTTCTTGTTCTATTACTCCCTGCAATATTTAAAACTGATCTACTGACATGAAATGTCCACAGATTCTCACAGTCAGTGTTAAAGTCTGTGATAAATACGTCATGTTTCCTGCATCACAATGAAAGCCACTCCATGTTTTGCCGGTTGAATGCTTTAAATGTGAGCTAACAGGATTAGGAAATGTTGGATTAGCATTAGCATAGTAATTTAATCCAACTGTGATTCAGATGGAGGGGAGTGAACAGTAAACAGGCTGATACCAAGGGGATGAAATTAAAACAGCAACATGCTGCATTGTTTCATGTGAATTCCCCAAGACTAATAAATTGACAGAGATCCCTTTTACTCGTGGTCCAGTAGAGATCTGAGCATCTAAAGGTTCCACGTTCTGGTCATAATTCCCTCCTGTTCGCTCTCAGGGACATGGCGGGGCTGGTGGGCCTGGCTGCGGTGCTGCTGGGTCTCTGCTCTGCATCTGAGGGCCTCTGGTCTCTGGCTGTGGCGCCGTGGGGCCTGGCCCTGCTGGGCTGGGTGGGGCTGAGGGGGATCACGCTGTGGAGACGGGGCCGCATGCAGAGGGCCGTCCACGCCAGGGCCACGCAGCTCCAGAGTCTGGTCCACAACAGCAAGACTCTGACCGGCCTGTCTCGCAAAGCCCTGCGTCTGGTGCAGGAGACCGAGGTCATCTCCAGAGGGTTCACCCTGTAAGTGTGTTCGTTTTATGTCCCCCTGCCCATCACCCAACCACATAATGATGATGTGAATTCATATCCCGTCATAATCTCCCAGTTGTCACTGCTTGGTCCAAGCCTGCTCAATTAATCCCCTCCTTTGTTGGCAGTTAATTAACCTACCTCGTCAGGTAGTGTGTCCATAGGCTTTTTATTTTACATGTTGGAGAAGTACTTATTTTACACATCACCGTCTCTGTTTGTGTGTATAGCTTTAGCATTATAGAAGAACATTGTAAACTAGTATTATACGAAGTGATTTAAAGAACTAGTTTAACATTTTTGGAAACATGTTTATTTATTCTGTCAGATCAGAAGATCAATACTCTTGTGTCTGCACAGTAAATATGAAGCTACAGCTGACTGTAACTTAGCTTAGCTTAGCATAAAGACTGGAAACAGGGGGAAACAGCTAGCCTGGCTCCGTCTAAAGGTAACAGAATCCATGTACCCTTCCTCCTTTTACACATAGGTTTTAAACAAAGGAGATATAAAGTGTTCAAAGATGAAATGATATGTCGATCAACAGAAAAATAATAATGGTTAATTGTTGGAGAGGTTTTTCATGCAAAAACAGTGAAACGAGGCAACAATCTCTGATTCCAGCCTCTAAAATGAGAGATCTCTTGCATTTCTTTGTCATATATCACTATAACAGTTGAAGCTGTCGGCTTGTTGTAATGGGCATTTTTTTATGTTTTATAGACATAAACAGATTAATTGACAAAATAATCATCATCAGATAAATTGAGAATAATTGTTCGTCTTTATGCTAAGCCAAGCTAATCGGCTGCTCAGCGCACAGAAAGGAGAGTCATATCAATCTTTTCATCGAACTGTCCCAAGTTTCCCAAAATGTCAAACTATTCCTTTAATAGCATGTGAAAGAGTCTTGTTTGCCACTGCAGCCTGGTAGAGTAACATGCCTGTGTAGTGTCCGTGTCTGAATCGTCTCAGTATGTTGTAGCAAACGTCTCTGTGTGTCGTCTTTAGCTGATGTGGTGTTCAGTGTTGTGTGTGCCCCCCTGCCTCTTTGGGACGTCTCCACAGTTGTATCACATTTCACTTGTCAAGTTTGCTCGACAGGGTGAGTGCGGCCAGCTCCTTTAGCAGGGCGGGGCCGGGGGCGGTGCCACGCGGCCAGCAGCTGATTGGACTGAGGAAGTCCCTGTACCGGGCGCTCCGCTCAGCCTTCAGATCCTCGAGGAGAGCCACCTGTCACATGCTCAAGGCATATCCTTTACCTGGACAGCTCAGTGTGTCTTCTTTTAAGGACACGGGGAGACCAGCCTACAACTTATGACTTAGGACTTTTTGTTGCGTAAACAAATCCATATAACTATTCAGGTCCTTTAAAAGCAGCACAAATCTTTTCTCTGTTGTTCAAATATCTATTCTTGCATCTTGTGGTTTGGAACTGTGCGGCCCGTTCTTAAAGCATTGTTCAATCTCTCTGGAGTGTGGAAGGGAAATCTCTTGAAGGGAAAATGTGATTGGAGTCTTTTGTCGTTTGAGGTTAACAGTCATTCGTAAGCAGGAAAACACTGATTCCTGGTTGGAAATCCCAGGAAATGTTACTTGTTATTGTCGGGTCACAAAAAAAACCCCTCCATTAATTGAAATGAAACAATATGTAGCTTTTTCTAGGTGTGTCGTGTGGTGTGTCCTTAACCCCCTCCAACGTTTCCTCTGAACTCTGAGATCGATAACGTGACCAACTATGTGTCTGCGGTGCCTCTGAAGGAGCTGGGGCTCGGCCTGGGCATCGAGCACCTGGGTGATGAGCAGGCCCAGGAGCTGACGGACGACTACAGCCTGCCCGCCCTGAAGGTGAGGCCTGAGGGTTCAACCTGGCAGGGGGGGGGTGCAGGTAGAGAAAACAAGAAGTGGTGGTGCAGGGAGGTGGAACAGGCGATGACCTGGACTTTATTAATAATCAGTTAAATTGAATGTGATTCCTGTCCTGTTTATGCTGTTTTAAAGTGATATTCTTGCTTCACTACATGTTGGTTACAACAGTTTGAAGTTTTTACCATTGAAAGTGTCAAAATACCGATTGAAACTTCTTGATGCATTAATCCAAATCTTTCTACTTCACTTCTCTGCTGCTCGTCTTTTCTGCTTAGCATCTTGCAAACACTTTCTCTTTTATCAAGTGGCCCACTTTCTTTTATCCTTCGGCGCTTTGAGTAAAGTGATAGTGTGACAGAAAGTGTATTCATGCACTGGCCTCAGTTTGGTTTTTGAAGTAAAAAGGCCTGAAGCCACCAACAGTTAAAAGACTATGTCAAAGGTCAAAGAAAGAAAGGAAAGAACGGTGGTGGTAATATGATGACATATTTTTTTTTTTTACAAGTTGGCCGATGTATAAAGCTCCAAACAGGATGTTATTAAGCTGGTATTTGTTGGCTTGTCCTCCTGCAGATGCTGTTCCAGCTGTGGGTGGGACAAAGCTCTGAGTGTTTCCGTCGACTGGCCCTTCTGCTGTCGCCACGCCGAATAGAGGAGGCAGAAGAGGGTGCACCCAAAGCAGAGACCTCCCCTACTCTGCCTCCTCTGCCCCCGCTCCACCGCTCCATCGCCGCAGTGACCGAGCCGCTGCATCACGCTCTGGCCAGCTGCCTCGGTGAAGTGCAGCGCAGCTACGACTTCCACCGGCACTTCGAAACCCAGCCGAGGACGACGGGCTCCGACAGGACCGGACGGGCCAGGGAGAAGTGCCGAGAGCTCAACACCCTGCACACGTCCATCCGGAGCCTGCAGCTGCACCTCAAGGCCCTGCTCAGCGAGTGAGACACACACGTACATGAAAACCCTGACTGGCCTCATTCTACACCCATAAAATGAGATGAGACTCTAACAGTCGGTATTGTGAAAGTGGGTCACTGCAGCAGCAACGCAGAAGTAGAAATAAAGTAAAGACGATGTGCATACGGACATAGGAAGTGAGGTTTGAGGGACATCACAGCAACATTTTCACAGCGTACCAGGTAACAGGTCACTGTGCTAAGGGAAACAAAATTACGTCACATTTCCAATGAAAACAAAAATCATTAAAGAAATTACAAACATTTTAAACATGGAGTCACTTTCACTAAATCTAAGAAATAGCAGATATCATTTCCAGGAAGTAGACTGATTCATAAGTAGAACAGTTAAAAGTTTTTATCCCTCACTGAATTCCCCTGTTAAATCCATCACAGTCACAAAGACACAGATGGAGATTAAGAGAAGCAGATGAGTCAAAGGAGGATTTTTAAAGTCTGCGACAACTGAGAAGTGAGATTATTGTTGCATAAGATGAGATGTGGACTGTTGAAAAGAAGCTGAAATGGAATTAAGGAGATTCCTCTAAATATTTTTCACATTCATTCACATGCTATTTACTGTCTTTCCCATGACTTTATTATTGATTGTGAATATATTACACCCACTTCTGTCTGGATTTTAAAGATTATGAAATGTATATTGCATACAAAAGACTGAGATATTTTAATGGGCTGTATAATGTCGTGGAAACGTGTTTCACCTACGTGTCTGGTGTCGTCAGGATGATCATCCTGGAGGACGACCTGGAGAAGCTGATGGTGTCCAAGGAGCTGACGGAGCTGACGTGCGAGGGCTACCAGGACCTCAGCGACCGGCTGCACCAGCTGCACCCGCACATGCAGGCCAGCACGGGCTGCTGGGAGGACACCATCAGCCAGGTGGATCGCATGCTGAGACGGGCCAACGCCTGTCCGGGTGAGCGAACGCTAAAAAACAAACACACTCTGGATGTTAGTTTTAATCCTTTCAGAGTAAAAGTTTTAAAAAGATGCAACAAGTTCATGAGGAACAATCACGTCAACAGTGAATAAAACAATAAAACAGACATTAATAACAATAATACTTACAATATAAGTTTAATAACAATAACCAGACATTTTAATAAACATAAAAACAACTACATGCTGTTTAAATCTGAAATTATGACCACATACTTGAAGGTTCAGTGCTAGTTAACACCTTTGCCTTATACATCAGCACAGTGACCCCCTCTTTAGTACTATATTGGTTTCCATATTTACAATAGGTCTATTTTTAGCACAGACTTCCTCCTTCCTTTACCGTGACTCAAGACTGTTGCCAGTCATGGAGGAAGTAGCTGTTCCAGAATGTGGGACATGAAACAGAACAGACCAACCGGAGCGCAGCCGTCAGCGCTGTGACCAGGCTCCGATACCACGTTGTTGAGGTCATTTTGTTGCATTAATGGGAGTTTACATCATCTCTGCAGGTAACGTAGAGGGTCTGGAGCAGTGTGGGACTCCTGAATCTGAGATTCCTGCTCCTCCTCCATCATACCCCCTGATCCTGGACAGAGACCCTGTGCCAGAGGAGCTGGTGAGATCAGATCTCCACCTTTCACAACTATATTTACACAGAAAGTCCCTCATCAGTCAGGATTTCTGTAAACGTTCCTGGTGTGGCCTTTAAAATTGATACTAAACACCTTTCCCATCCTTCTTCTCCTCATCATGTTTCCCTGTTGTCAATCTCTCCTACTTTTTTGTTGGACCAGGAGTGGGAGGCGTACGTGTCCGACTCAGACTCTGACGGCGAAGGCCGAGGGTCCTGGTCCGACATGTTGTCACCGGAGGAACGGGAACGTCAGCGGCGGGAGAGGGAGGAGTCTCGCCGCGTCCTGTCAGAGCTAAAAGCTGTTCTGGGCTTCCGTGCGTCGGAGGGGGAGAGGATGAAGAGGAAGCAGCTGCTCTTCAACGACCAAGGTCTGCGCTGCTGTTGCTGATATTCTTAGAATGAGGCTGGTTTTATCTGGAATGACTGAGTGTCTCTGCTGATGCTCCGGATGATAAAATCTGCTGGTGGGTTCTTCTGGCAAATCCACTCACAACGATGCATCGTCAAAGATAGTACGATGACTGTCTGTGGGTTTTCCTTAGACAACCAGTTTACTACTCATCACTTACACTTACATTCAAATGAACTTAAATGTTGATTGTTTTTATTTTAATTAATCATTTACGTGATTTATTGAGCTCATTATATTGTGTTAAAAGGAATTTGGTAATCAATACTTAGTGAAGCCACTTTTAAGAACTGCTTGTGGTCCTTTTCTTAATGTAATGTCTTTCAGGGCTGCAACTAATGATGATTTTTGTTATTGATTGAATTATCCATTATTTTGCCAGTGGTTTATAAAATGTCAGAAAAGTTGCCGAGTTCCCAGTGACGTCTTCAAATGTCTTTTGTTGTCTGTCCAACAGGCTGGAACCCAAAAATATTTCATTTAATTTCATAGAAGACTAAGAAAACTAGAAAATTTGGAAATTACTTTTTTTGTATTTTTGCTTGAAGAATAACTGGGAACACAGTTTGCTGTCGATCAGTCGAATAATTGATTTATCAATACCTGTGAGGATTTGTTGATTTTTCCTCTGTAGTATAATTGTGGATACGTCTCTTTGGGTTATGGACTGTTGGAATTAGCCGTTTTAATGACGGTGTGCGCCTCCATGTGTACATGTAGATGGGTCTGGCCATGCGAGACTACTGTATCTGTAAGAGTCACTTGAGTTTAGTGCAAATTGTTTTTTTAGCTGCGAAAAAAACTTAAAGTCATTTCATTTCTCATTTTAATAATTGGTTAAATATGTGGAAAGTCTATGTTGGTGGATTGTGACATGGCGCTGGATGAAACACTGCGTCGTATCTATCACATCAGACATCAGCATGTCAGGTTTGTACTACAGGGTCAAAATTACAACTCAATATGTTCCGAAACTTAAACCATATATTTCTTCCTTTCTCTGGCAGCTGCTGTGACGCCGTCAGCTCGCGGTGAGAGTTCAGATCCCACCACCAAACCATCAGACGCTCCACCTTCACCAGCAGAAAGTGGTGATGAAGAGGGAAACCACCTATCAGAGCAGTCTGCAGGAAACGGAGGGGAGGAAGGGGAAGGAAAAGACGGCAGGGTGAGGCCTGAACCCTCCACCGAGCAGGTGATGGAGTTCAGCTGTGGGCTGGAGGCGGAGGATGGGGAGTTGGGGGGGGGTTCGGTCTGCAATAGAGGAGGAGGAGGAGCGTCGGAGCTGCATCAGTACGACGGGGTCCTGCAGGAGGGGGAGTCCCAGAACGGTCTGGACTGCTTCCTGAAGCCTAAAGCCCCCGCCGTGTCTGTGATGGATAGACTGACGGAGATCCACGGCTCGGAGGCTCTCAGCTTCAGCTCCGCCATCGCCGCGCAGGTGGCGGCACGCTCGCACTCGCTCATCAACATGGAGGAGCAGACGTTCGGAGACGACGGGGAGGAGGACGGAGAGGAAGACGGAGAGGAGGAGAGCGACAGACGAACCCCTGACAAGGACTGAAAATAAACCTCCGCTGCTTAAAGCGAGCACTGAGCAGAGACTGTATTTATGTCCGATGTCCTCCATCGATGAGTCTGTGTTACATCTTATCTTGTGGAGATATTTCAGATTCACTCTCTATTACCCATCCGTCCATCTTACTGTACATTACCCACGATTCTTACTGCTCTCTTGCTGTTAAAACTCAGGTACCAGAACCACTAAAACAAAACCCGACCTACAGTGTTGAGGTCAGAAGACCAGAATGTCTGCAGTTTAACTTGGTGACATCCACATTGTGTAAAGTGTTCACAGTCGCTCGGTCGATGTGGAAACGAAGAGTGTAAGCAACAAGTGATTGGCTTCAGACATAAAAATAAGAAGAGAAGAAGAGTAACGGTTCAGTCTGAGTGACTGTGAGGAAGTGTTGGTGCTGGAGCAGTGGAGAGGAGATAGCAGCGGTAATTCTCTAAAGGTGTGTTCAGACAGAAAGCAAATAATTCTGACAGTTTCAGTTTGATTCATTCACTCAAAGATCACTTCAGTATTTAGATTATTATTTTTTGCCCTGGGTTTTGCCTCTCAGGCAACTTACAAGCTGAGGTTGTTGTGGCTGAACAAAAAAATCCACCAACTCATTTCTCTTAAAAAGACGCTGAAACAAAGATCATAAAGTAAAAGATATAAATATTGATTGATTTCAAATGCTCGTCGTTGACATTTGAAACGACAGTTTGAATTTTTTGTCAAACATTTTTTATAAAATCTAATAATATTTATCAAACAGTATCAGGTCTCTATTAAGGAAATTACAGTGCATTATTTTATACATTATAAAACAGCAAATTATGTGGCTTTTTTGGTTTACTAACATTTCGATGGAGAGCCTGATAAACACTTTAATTTGTTAGATGATATAAATTTATATAAATGAAGAAAATGTTTACATTTACTTACAACTAACTGCTGTAACTTTAAATGGGTAAAAGTAGCAACAGCACAGTGTAGAAATACTCTGTTACAAGTAAAAAAAAAAAAAACCTCATTATGCAGAGTGGCTCATTTCAGAAGAATGGATTCATGTGTTCATCACTTTAATGTTGCAGCTGGTAAAGGTGGGGCTGATTTTAATTACTTTATACACAGCAGGGTAGATTGAGTCTTATTTTATCTTAACTAAAAATACATCCTAATTTATTTGTTGTTATATTTTGGGTTATTAATCTGAAACTGGAAAGCAGCTAAAGTTTCAAATGAATGTAGAGGAGTAAAAAGTATAATATTTACAGCGAAGTCGAAGTATAATACACAATACATACATACAGTACTTGAGTAAATGTACTTAGCTACTTTCCACCACTGTAGTTGGTACTTTGGATGTTTTGGGTCTAATAAATGCAAACGGTTAAATTCAAGTTAATGACTCAAGGAGAGAATTCTCTTTGCTTTCTGTCTGAACGGCCTTTACAGCAGAAGGTTGAAGTCAGCCGACCTTAAATCTTATAGGCGGACAGATCTACACACACACATGAAGTGCAAGAAGAGGAAGTGGAATTCTATTTTTATTCTCTGCGCTTTATTTCTGTCCCTTCTTCTGCGATCCGTCTCCGATTGGACACAATGGGGGTAACGGTGAAGTGGACATATGAACCAACATACATTCTCAATCCCATTTGCAGCGACATATTTGGAATACAGCACTATTGTATCTAAGAACAATTCATGAAGACTGAAACAATCCCAACTTTCTCAGCGTCTGTGTTTACAGGGGCGCGCTCAGCGGAGAGGTCAGGAAGCCTTGTTTTTCACACTGAATTGTGTGGCATGAATTTAATGAACTGTGCTGCTGTGAGGTTTGAAATCAAATACCTCTGTGTGTGAGTGTGTGTGTGCGGGTTTGGTAATAAAAGAAGAGACTGGCTTTTCTCTTGTGTGAGGGCAATCTGTAACTTTATGTTCCACATGAAGAGTCTGACAGCCCTGATGTATGCCTCCACCTTCCCGGTCTTTCTTGTCTCCATGTTTGCCTTGTCCTGACCCCCCCACCCCCCCCCCACCCTTGCACCCTCCCCCGGGGTGAGGTCTACCCCCCTCCTGCATTTTCCAACGTGAAATAAAATACCATTCTGGAAGTGTTCAATGTTTCCCGTGGTCTTTTCTGATATTAGACCGTGCTCATGTTTCAGAGACTGTGATGGCCGGAGGTTCACAAACAGGTTTGGTGAGTTATTTGATATGTTCAGTGGGGTTTTGCACTTGTCTGACCCACAACAGCTGGTGCTCCCCTATAAAGCCTTTTGAGGGCTTACACACAGACCCACACTTACTCAAGTCCTGTGCTTCAGTATAATTTTGAGGTACTTACACTTAGGTTTTTTGATTTCATCCTACTTCAAACTTCATTACATTTTAGAGGGAAAAATTATACTTTTCACTCCCCTACATTTATTTGACAAACCATTAGAAATAAGTACTTTTCATATTCAGATTTTATAGAAAAAAACATACTATAAGTTTATGAAATCCATCACATTGTTGAAGATTATTAGAAGTTATTAGAAACATTTACTCTTTTATAACTAAGTTTCAATTACTATTTGAAGTAAAGAGAGGTCATTTTAACCAATATTTGACTCCAAAAACGACTAAAATTAGAGAAAAGTCCTAGAATTAGTTTGGCACTACACACCCAGATTGTCTTTTCTCCCGAGTGTGCCATGAACACAACAAACTGTGCATCACGTGCTCTACAATCGCCTAAATATAAAATACCACACTGCTTTTATTTTATGCTCATTTACTGTTGTGGCTTTGCCATCTGGTGGTCACTTCTGTTACTGCTTCTTCAATAAGATAACTGATGTTTAAATATAAACATATATTCATGTGGAACAGAAAACCTAATATAAATTAGCCTATAAATCGTTTTCCTAAATGTGTTTGTCTAATTGATAATTTGGCTTTAATCCATTCGGTTGTATGTAGCCGTATTAATGTAATAGTTTAAGTGTAGTTCATACATTTATTTATACTGCAGTACAGGATCTGTCCTCATTAGGCTCAGTGCTCCGCTACAGCTGATTCAGCATGTTGTACTTTGTGATGCCTTCAAGTGCTCTGCATGAGCTCAGATTTCTGACTACTCTACTACTACATTTGTAAGATGAGTTCCAAATGGCTGTATGATAAATCGTTTCTATAACCTTTCATTTTTTGAAAATATAGAATAATTTGACCTCTTTGGACGTCAAATGATCATTAAAATAAAACCATATAAGAAGCATAGAGGGGAAATCGGCCGTGGAACTGCTAATAGTTCATAGACATCTGAGACAGATTCTGCTTGTATGTAAGAGTTTTGTATCACATTTTAAAAGCATATCATACTTTTTTTAAATGTAAAATCTTATTTTGAAACGTAATTTTAGCTGTGAGATAGAGTAAAGTAAGTACAGTATTCCCGTCTGAACTGCGGTGGAGTAGAAATACAAAGTGTAAGTATAAATGGAAATAAGTAAGTTACCTCAGACCTCGAGTGCAGTACTTGAGGTAGATACATATACTTAGTTACTTTTCGCCACTTATAAAAGTATAAGAATTAAGAAAAAGATACACCTGTACATAAATAAATGTTAAACAAATGCTAAAAATATTAAAATAGAAGTAATTTTTGACGTGGTAGGGGGTTTTACTGCTTACTTGACAATAAATCTAAAAACTCAGACTGTACGTGAAGGCAGCATCACACACAGCATTCCCACAATCCCTCGCGCTTCCTTTTCCAGCAGCGTCTGCGATCATGGCGGACGTGGTTGCGGAGCAGGTAGCGGACCAGAAACCAGTCCCGGACCGGGAGCTGAACGGGGAGGCGGAGGACAGAGAAGAGGCCGACCCGGTGGAGACCGCGAAAAAGAAGAAGAAAAAGAAGAAGAAGAAGTCTGCGACGACAGGTGAGGCTGTTCTGAGCTGTTTCATGCTAACAGGCTAGCAGAGCTGCGACAGGTTAGCCGCAGTTTGTAACGACCCAACCGGAAACGGTGGGAGGTTTCCTTCAAAGTAATGGTCCACCTTTTTGGTTGTGGAAAATAAGTTTGATTTTCACCGTTATAGCTCAGAATATTAACCATGACTTTTGTTACTACGAGTTTTCTACAAAGACATTTAAAAACACTTTTAATTGATGAATGTAAGAAAAGTATTCAAACGTAGAACGTAAAATAGACTTCGTACTGGTGGTTTTAGAAGTTTTGTCTTAAGTTCGTGTATATAAAGATTACTAGGGGTAGATACGTTCATGTTGCTCATTATGTATTTATTTATTTGTTTAATTTAAAATTGTTTAACCAAATTGTGAATTTCAAACTTTGTCGTCAGTCAAGAAAAAGGGGTGTTTTCCATTAAGATTTTGAATGATGACATTGCCACATTTAATTAGATAAAATTAACGTTTCATTTTGAAAAAAACTAACTGCACAAAATAGTTATATGGAAAACTGCAAATGGATGTCCATGGTAGCTTACTGCGATGTTGCCAGTTAAGATATGGTGCATATACTGTATTTACTCATAGAGACATGTTGACTTTTTTTATGTTGAAAATCCTACCGGAAGTACGGTGGTGTAGCTTGTCGTACTTGACACTGGTCCTCATTAGCCATGCGGGTTGAGCGGTGTGGACTGTCAGGCCTCATGTAACACGCCGGGCTTTGGTCAGAACCGCATCCAGGAGCAGTGACATTAACCACAGCCCGAACTTAAAGCAATTTACTGTTAATTTAGAGAGAAAACACAAAAACCCTGTCACCCAACCCGCTCCCTTTAGTGACTGTTTTCCTTCTCGGCGAATGCGATGAGCCTCAGCCAAGTTTTCCTGTTTCGTAATTCCCCCATTGCCCAGAGTTATTATGTAAGGAAAGAACAGCGAAAAGATGCTGTATTTTATAAATAAACCAAATCAAAACACTATAAGCTCATGGTTGCTTTTATTCCCGTGCACTTCAAACCAAACTCAATTAAATTAACTGCAATTTAGAGACATCGTAAGAAATGTCAAACGCTGATAAATAGATCGATAGATATATACACTGACAGATAGATAGATAGATAGACATTATTGATCTTGTTGGGGAAATTGTCAATTCATAGCAGACTGACGATAACAATAGGATTAAAATTAAAAGCACCACTGCAGTATTGCAGACCTGCAGAGCCTGATGAAAATACAAATGTACAACATGTACGGTATTAATCAGAAATAGAAAGTGCAGAACGGTCCCCAGGAACATGGGTTTATTCATGATGACAGTGTCCTGTTTACTACAGGGTTAAGATATTACCTGAATGCCTTTTGTTAAAATTAAATAAAAAATTGTTTAAAACTATAACATTGTAAAAATGAGTGACTCACTTTACATCCATAATGTTTGAGAACTTGCCACTTTGAGCAAGCAGCATTCAATGTACAATTCTCCAACATCAGCAGATCTTCCACAATGCTCTCAACGTTTTCCTTTCTATAGTTAAAGCAACACTCGTATTTCTACAAACTCTACAACTTATTTACCTCCTTAAAAACCAGATCGAATTCATGAGAGTTTTTGGCTTCATGCTGTAGAGTTTCACTTCTTCCTGTTGGATCTGTATCAGGGATCAAACTGACCTTATGGGAGTGGGCATCGGCCAGACATTGTTTGCTTTGTTGTCAGTTTCATTATAAAATCCTCCATTTAATCATTTTAATCACGTCACATCAAACTTCTAACAGTTTTATAGTTTTTACATTTTTAGTGAATTTCTTTATGTCTGTATTTCATGTCTGTCTTTTGTGAAACTTTACTGAACATCTGCTCTTGAAAGTCACTTATATAAGTGGCTATACAGCTGCTCACATTGATAAACTTGCTTACGTACTTACTAACTCTATTTTAGCTCCGTGGCTTCTGTTTTCTGACATAAAATTATCCAAATGTTCCTCACAGTGCAGTATAAAGATTTGGGAAAAATGTTGTTTAAGAGACCTGCTCTGAGGGATCATGCCAGTCTGGGAATGAATGGTTCTACCTCTGGTTACACAACTGTGTCTGCTGCTTCCTGCTGATACAGAACATTTCGGCTGCAGCGACGTAATCGCTTACTGGCCTGTGTGTATGTTCTCGTTGCTGCCGCTGCTGCAGGCGCTGAGCCGGAGGCAGATGGAGTGGGCGAAGTGACCAAACAGCTGGAGAAGCAGGCGATAGAAGACAAAGAGAAGGAGGAGGACGGCGAGGAAGGTGACCCACCTGATAACACAGTTGTAACACATCACATGTAAACATCACACTTGGCGGTTGGTGTAACAGCAGCGTCTTCACTTGCACAGATGGAGATGACGGAGAAAACTCAGCAGGGAAAAAAAAGAAGAAGAAAAAGAAGAAGAAAGGACGTAAGTTGACGACGTGATGTGTTTTATAGGGAGAGACATTTTACTGTTCTCTGAGGTGTTGTCCTGGATTCAAACCTTCACTGTAAGACTCGCGTTTGTCAGTTTGACGGGTGTTTTTCTGTTTTCCTCTCAGCCAAATCTCAGACTGATCCTCCGTCTGTGCCCATCTGTGACTTGTACCCAAGCGGGGTGTTCCCCATGGGACAGGAGTGTGAATACCCCGCCTCACAGGATGGGTAAGAACGTAAACATGCCACTCACACTTACACCTGTGTCGTGTGTGCAGCTTTCGTTTCCTAAATGTTCATCAGTCCCGTTGGAAGTCAAGGAGGTTGTGCTCTTGCTGGTGTCTGTTTTCTCTGGCTTTTCCTGATTTTAGACATTTTATTTTGTTGGTTGTGCACTTCATCCTGACTGTGTTTAATGTTGTCTGTCTCTTTTATCGCCATCTTTCCCCATTATATTCTCATGGAACAGGTGTTTATATTAGCATTAATTTTAATTGCAAATATTACTTATCGGCTCATCACTTTGCCTAAATTTAAATTTTTCAAATATTCAAATGTGCACATTAGAAATAATTGTTGCGATAACCTTGCAGCACCTCAGTCTGCTGCCTTGCAGATAAACTCTGTAACCCTGGTCAGCTGATGAGTCAGGAGCTGTGTTGTCACAGCGTGCAGCATTAACACGTTCACTTTCACCACTGACTGTCCAAAACGGTCAGCCTTTTTCTTCTGTAGTAGCTGCACCTTTAATAAGTAATGGTGTTTAAAACGTGAGCTGCTGCTGTGTTTGTCTCCCAGTCGCAGCGCGGCGTGGCGCACGACCAGCGACGAGAAGCGGGTCCTGGATAAAGCCAACGAAGAGGTGTGGAACGACTTCAGACAGGCGGCCGAGGCCCACAGACAGGTCCGCCAGCACGTCCGCAGCTTCCTCAAACCCGGCATGACCATGATCGAGATCTGGTGAGGACGCCTTCATCGCTGTGATTCGCTTCATCAGTGTGATTTTTGTAGAAAGTTTAATTTCATCTCATCCCCCCTCCTCCTCCTCAGCGAGCGGTTGGAGGACTGTTCTCGTAAGCTGATAAAGGAGAACAGGCTGAACGCCGGCCTGGCCTTCCCCACCGGCTGTTCCCTGAACCATTGTGCTGCCCACTACACTCCCAACGCCGGAGACACCACTGTCCTGCAGTACGACGACGTCTGCAAGATCGACTTCGGCACGCACATCAACGGTAACACAAGAATTAAGAGCATTTAGTGCTGATGCGTTCAGGGCCCACTTTCTATCCGTAATGGATCAGAGTCAGAATGGCTGCCACTTAGTAATACATGTAGAACCGTTGTTCCCAGCCTTTTCCAACTCCTGACCAAATCTCAAAAATGTTGGTGATCCACATCCGACCCCGTGACAGTACAGAGGACAAATAAACCTCCTCAGAGCTTTTTATTTTCATGATAACGATCGAACATTCAGGACTGAATCAGACTGAGGTCGCAAACAAGATGTGGTCTGGTCCTATCATGGCTTATCACAGTGACATGACTTAATACAAGAAGTTGTACAATATTTGTAATGTTTTCAAAGATAATTTTTTTAAAAATAAATTATTTATATTATATATTATTTTATGATTACATCTTTTCACCCAAATTGTAGCCAGCTGTTCTGCAAATGATTTGTTGTCCCACCTGCAGTACCTTCGCAGCCCACCAGTGGGCCCCGGCCCTCCTAACATATGTTCTTCTTTCTTCTTCTTCTGGTTTGTGTCTGCAGGGCGAATCATTGACTGTGCCTTCACTGTCACATTTAACCCAAAGTATGACAAGCTGCTGGAGGCTGTGAAAGACGCCACCAATACTGGAATCAAAGTAGGACTCACACACACACACACACACACACACACACACACACACACACACACACACACACACACACACACACACCTCCCTCGTCTGATCTGTAGCTGATGGCTTCCTGTTTGTTTGTGTCAGAACGCCGGCATTGATGTGCGCCTGTGTGATGTTGGAGAGGCCATTCAAGAGGTGATGGAGTCCTACGAGGTCGAGCTTGATGGAAAAACATATCAAGGTACGTTCTCACCTGAAAACACCGGACATAACCTAACTTGTATTTTGATATTTACAGATACATTTATTGAATTGTGCTTTTAGAAACATGTTTTTAATAAAGTTTCTAGCAGTTTGTATAAAGGCAGCTTTATATTTCTAATGTTCTAAAGTTCAAACTCCTGAAAATATCCGAAATTCAGGACAAGAATATCTTAATGTTGATGAACTTTACATAAAACACTTTAAAAAAATCTAATGACATTCACATACTACTCCTCTATCTCAGCTGTTTTAGTCATTAATGCCAGTTCATACAGTACATCCAGTAAGAAAAAAAACTAAATCAGTGCAACTTGTTTTCTTCTCCTGCAGTGAAGCCGATCCGAAACCTGAACGGTCATTCAATCGGCCAGTACAGGATACACGCTGGGAAGACTGTGCCCATCGTTAAAGGAGGAGAAGCTACGAGAATGGAGGCGAGTTCATTAAGATCATCAGTCTTTCAGTTTGTCTCAGTGACAGTATGAACTGTTTATTTGCTGCAGTTATCTGTGACAGTTGTGGCATAAAACAGGTTGTATTCTCATTCTCTGAATAATTTCACAAATAAAGTTACAGATACATAATTTAAACTACTGTTTGGTGCATTATGGTGAAGTTTGTTGCATATCTTAGAAAACTGCAGCCACCAGACAGTAAAACAAGAGTAAAAGTAACTGAGTAGACCATTTAAAGCCTTTATTCCTGATCGCTTGCAGTCACCCTGTTGTTGATCGTATATTTTTACGCTGCAGGAAGGAGAGGTTTATGCCATCGAGACGTTCGGCAGCACAGGTAAAGGTGTGGTCCACGACGACATGGAGTGCTCTCACTATATGAAAAACTTCGATGTTGGCCACGTCCCCATCAGGTAAAAGTTAAAAGCATGAATCCTTTCTGGTCTAACAAAACATGCACCTATTGATTTGTTAGTGTGTCGTTTACTTATTTATTTGTTAAATGTCAACAACAACAACAACAACCACCCCTGAAGATTAATCAATGCTTTTATATTGTGTCAAAATTCACACCTCTAATTCTTAAATGAGTCAAAATGCAACGAACAGGCGTCACACACACTGTTGGAGTTGCTTATAGTCATTTCTTTGATGACTGGTGAGAATAAAAGTCCATAAATCTATTTATAAAACTGAGAACATTCATCCTAAATGCAAATTAGACCGTCGTCCACAAAGCAGCCAATCACTGAATATTTAAAGTGTCGTCTGGGATACGCTCTGATGTCATCGATGGTTCCTTCCTCTCCAGGCTGCCCCGAGCGAAGCACTTGCTGAACGTGGTCAACGAGAACTTTGGCACGCTGGCGTTCTGCCGGCGCTGGCTGGACCGCCTGGGCGAGAGCAAGTACCTGATGGCCCTGAAGAACCTGTGCGACCTGGGCATCGTGGACCCCTACCCTCCGCTCTGCGACACCAAGGGCTGCTACACCGCTCAGTTCGAGCACACCATCCTGCTCAGGCCCACCTGCAAGGAGGTGGTGAGCCGGGGAGACGACTACTGACACCCCAACCCCCGCAACAACAGCACCCCACCACCAGACCCCTCCCTCCCTCCCTCCCACCCCCCACCAACACCACCACCACCACCACCACCACTACCACCCATCACCTCCAGACCCTGTTAGCAACTCCTCCTTCAGAGAAACAGGAGATGATAGCTTCTAACACAGGAAGTGGTTTTCTCAGAGCAGCAGTGAAGGATGCCAAATGCTACTGTATTCTACCCATAATGCACCACTCACAGCTTGAAAAGAGGACAGACTGCCTTTCTGAGTTTTCCATCATCAACACAGCTAAAGAAATTGTAAACAAGCCAACACATCTTTGTCGGAGGAAGCATTGTAGTTTCTTTCAATGTCCCATGGACCTCGTTTTACTGAATAAAAACAACTGTTTTAACTGTTAAACAGTTCAAAATGTTGCCATGAATTTAGTGCAACCCCAGTATTCAAACAGATGGTGAGGGTGGGGAACACCTTCAGACCCCCAACCCCCTTTTACTTTCAAACTTTCTTTGGCTCCTCTTTAACCCTCCAGTGCTTTAGTGCTTGAGTTAAATTAAGCACAAATGCTACTGACGGGGTTTAAGAAGTGGTCCGGCCACAAATCTCTGCAAACAGCTAACATTTAAAGCTCGGGGTGCTGTAGTCCTAAACACCATCTTCACACAGACGCCGTGCATCTGCAGCTTTATGTTTGGCTTCTGTCGCTGCCTGAGGGGAGGAGGGGGCGGGGAACTCTGCACTCTGGCCCTCCAGTCATCGTTTCTTTGATATTTGTAAAATATCTTTGAAAATGCTGCTGCCACTGTATGTTCCAAATTAAAATGCTTCATTTTGAACTCCCTGAAAATGTTTTTGTAAGAAAAAAAAAGATGATTAAAATAATTTTGCTCATTGTGGGCGGTCCTCTTCTAATGTCTCCGATCACAGGACAAGAAAACAGTATATTGACAGTATTGATTATCTAAGGTAGAGCTGAAATCATATATTGACAACAATTTTGATCGTCCTTGAAGTAAGTTTTTAAACGTATGTGTGAATTTTGGGAGCTTTAGTTTGATTAAGAATCATTAATCACCAAGTAATTTGATTGGACTAGAGTCATTTGCAGCGCTGGGACTTTTAACTACATGTATCACTCCGCTTTACAGGTGTTCTATTAACCGTTAATTAGCGTTACATTAACGGTCGTTATCTATCTTAGATTTGACAAACTTTGCAAAGATTAATATATTTCCAGAGATATCATTTGAATTAAATGATGTGTGGTCGTCAGAAGAGGATGAAGGGAAGAAGCCTGGAGACTTAAGCGCACACCTGAGGTAATGTGTAACATAAAGTAACAAGCTAGTGTGCACTGTGCAGGTGAGGACAATGTTTATGTTGCTTAGCATCAGTCAGACCCCGGCTAGTTGGGGAACTATTTGTGTTGTAGCCAAAATGATAATGATTGTCCTCGGTACTCGGCCGCAGCCCTGCTGATATTCAGTACATCACTCCCTCTCGTGTGATATTGCTAAAATAACAAATATCTACGTATTCAGCAGTTTGATACCACTTTGAAATGTGACCATTAAAAATTGTAGCAACAGCTAGCATCCACTTAGTTTAGCTTAGACTGGAAACAGCTAACCTGGCTGTGTCCAAAAACCGAAAATTGACCTACTTACATTTTGTTTTTACATATTTAAAAAAAAAAAAAAGAAGATAAATCATGTTAAAAGGAGAGACTGAGATGTGCTGCTAGGCGGAATTTGCCACCATTAAACACAGCCAGGCTAACAGGCTAACTTTCCTCATATGTTTCTACTTCTTATGCTAAGATAACCGGTTGCTAGTTTAGACAAGTTAGCTTCATATTTAACGGACAGATTTGAAAATGGGAGTAACGTTCTTCGCTAACCCAACAAGGAAGTAAATTAACATATTTTCTCTTAAAGTCAAACTATTAATTTAAGGAAAAAAGTTTACAGCTTCTTAAATATTAATATTTGCTCATATGTACTAGAAAAAAATCTTAAGATTTTGGACTGTTGATTGGGCGAAAAAAAGCTATCTATAAACTTAGACTCAGAGAAAATGTCCATCACACATTACTATTTTTTGTTATTTTAAACACCAAATAACTGAGTAAAGTAGGAAGATTAATCTGCAATTTAAATGAATCATAGGCAGACCAAATCGGATCTACTTAAACTAAAAGTGGTAGGTTATGAAGGAAGAGTTTAGCTTTCACATCTTGCATTCCTTGAAGTTTGTTAGTTTTTCCCCTTTAAAAGACAATTAAATTTTTCTTTTCTGAATCAGTAAGGAGTCCTGGGCAGTACATGTTTTTTATTTTGGGTTATATAAATAAAATTTACTTGGCTAGCTTCCTCTTCTTGATGAGAAAAAGCAAGAGACTGGCACCTTTTTGTAGAAAAATGAAAAAATATTCTCATTTATTGAGGTAATTTTCTCTAGAAAAAAATTGAGGTAACAATTTGCATAGTATAACTTCCATAAATTTACACACACACACACCCATGTAGTAGTAAGAAAATGCCAACAATGTCTCACAATGAAGGAAAAACAATATGAAGTGTGCTTTGAATTTCCCCCTGATGGATAAATCCAGAGGGAACACGATTGAGGTGGAGATTCATGTTTTTTCTCCAGTATGGAGATAAATATCACAATCTGTATACACTGTAGAAATCTGTATATTTTACTGAACAGCTGGTAAATAAAACACAGTCATGTACAAATACAGTACACACACCTAATTCATGGTGAACAGTGAAATCTGTCATAACTGCTGGTGGTGTTGAACAAATAGCGGTTGTATAAAACTTTAAAAACAGTCAATGGCCTCTTTTCTAAAACCTCTGAGAAGGATTGTATAAAAATACATTCATCATCTAAATGCTGGTTCGTGTGGGATTGCAGCTGTGCAGATTCCACGTTGTTTAACTGATATGATCTATAAAAATATATCTTTGTTTTTTTTTTCTTCTTCAACAAAAGGGCACTTTTCTAGCACACTAGTATCTGTCTGGTTGGTTCAGACTCTGAAAACAATTACATTCTGAAGCAGAGAGGTGGCAGTATTTAGCCCCCCCCCCCCAAAAAAAAAATCCCTTTGGAAGCTTTTCTTTTTCCTCAATCAGTCAGAAAAAGGAAGGAAAAAAAACAACCTTGAACCGTTTTGGAAATACTGAGTTTTTTCCAAACATTCCCCCAAGGCTTTGGCTTGAGGTCTGCCAATTCTTTTCCTGACAGACCGAGGTTTACTTCAGAGTGAAAATAAACTTCCTGTCCTGCTTGTGTACAGATCTTTTAACTATGAACCGACATTGAGTCTGAGTAAAAAGAAAAAAAAACAAAACAACACTGATGACCTGTTCTGTAATAATTAGTGCATTTCTGGCAGGAATATGGTTAAATGCAGCCATGTTGTTAACACCTGTCCAAACATTTACCTGTCTAAAACACAGGGAGGCCATTTCTAGAAAGTGAATGACATTGTACAACCCTACATCCAGTTCTGTGTTGACTATCTAAAGTGACTGAGAAACATTTCAGTTGATTTAAACAAAACAGAATTTACAATCAACAAGCCACCAACGCAGGTAGGCAGACACGTGAATACACCTGTACGACCTGTAGAGGACACTTGTATGTGTGTAGTCATACCCAGCCAGTCTGTTGGCTGCTACTGAGACACAACTTGGCTGATACTCTCTTCTTTATAATAAAAAATACAACTGTACACAAAACACAAACATCACCATTTTTTTTTTAAAATACCTACATATAAACACCATATACAAGAAGTTCACAAAGCAGAACCAGGTTTTAAAAAGTAGTCCTCCTCTTTTTCTTTTTTTTTTCCTTATTTAGAAAAATAGACTAAAAACACCACCCATCCTCCCAGGATATAAAATGCCCAAAGACAGAGAGGGAAGAGAAAGAGTGAAAGGTGGGGCTGTGCTGATATCGTCTCGCTGAGTGGTCAGGCTGCAGCGGAGGAGGAGGAGGGGGATTGTGGTCCTATAGCGGCCGGTCTTTGTCCTGAGTTACTTGCTGTGTGTAGAAGAGGATGTAGGCCTGAGCTCGGCAGACCTCGTCCACTGAACACACATTCAGCTTAGAGTCATTACAGTGAACCCAGAAGCCTGCAGGAGAAGACGAGCAAAAACAATCAGTCAGTAGTTGGACTAATATCAAGAGCGTAGGTTTGCTCTTTTTTTTAGATTGTTTAATGCTGTCAACCTTACGGTTTATTAACATATAAGATCTGAATTTACATTCAGAAATGTGTTTATATTTAAATCAAACTATGCACAGTAAACAGATCAAAACTATAACTAAGAAATTCAACTCATACTTTGATATATCCACTATTTTATGTTCACTCCTGCTAGCAACTTTCACCTAACTCGAGTCTGTAAATTGATGTCATCAATTTGCATAAATGAAGGTAGAAAAAAAATGTAATCTATGGTACTGTGAAATGGTTGTATGCTTGCAATTTAGAATGAATGGTCTAAATAAATGCTGAAACTGCTGGCATCGTCGGAGAGAAAAAACAAGCTAATCAGACACAATAATTGTAAATTGTAAATGTAATTTCAAACTCATATATTCAATTTACATTTCTTATTAGCAGCATTTTAAGTATAGTCTCAACAGGATCACAAAAATGTCCTGCTGTCTATATGTTTTGGATGCTCCAGTAGCGCTTAATCATCGTCAACGTCTCACACCTGATGTCAATCCCACCGTGCTCTCTACTCACCTCCTTCTGTGTTGTAGCAGTAGGCAGTGTAGTGGCCGGAACCGAAGCCCTTCCCATGATGCATCACCACAGCGGAGAGTTCGTAGAGGAAGTGCTTGGGGCGCGGTGAGCCTGCGGAGCCGGGGCTGCTGGGACTGGAGCAGGGCACGCCTTTGGGCGACGGCTCCCGGCAGCAGTAGGGCTCCATGTTGAGGAGCTGGTCGAAGCTGACGTGGACTCCGATCTTCTCCCGGTGGTTCCGCCCAGACCACCTGAGGACCATCACAGCACAGAGACAGTCACGCACTGAGCGACTAGTCTGCATCGCAACAGATTCAATGCAGCTGAGCCAAAACTTCACATGGACTAAAGACAGTCTCGTCTGGTTTAACCCTGTTGTTTTTGCTGATTTATAAACCCAAAGTTTAAACAGTGTATTTTTTTTGGTGGTTTACCTTCAATCTTTCAACTCAAGTTCAAACATGAACATCACAGTTGTGAGTTTTCACAGAATTGCCCCACGTAAATCACTACTCGATGCTCTTCAGTTTGAATTGTATGGCAATATAAAGCAAATAAGATCTCTGTTTTTGATATGACGTTATGGGAGTCTTCAATTATATTTATGTTGTGTATTTATGCTTTCATTTCATAAAAGCTACTTGGCACTAATTTTGCAAAGGAGCAGTTTTAGGGACATATATCTCACACAAGTTGTGTTGTTTATCCAGCTGCTAACATGGCAGCTAGTAAGAGTCAGGCTTTTATGACTCAGCATCAATATTCATATTAAAACTGCTCCCAACTTTGTAATTATTCTTGTTGTTGTGTGCCTGCAGGGATGACAGAAGTCGTATTTAATTGAATGAGCGAGGCAGACTGACTGACTCTGGTGTTGCGTCATCTCACCTGAAGCGTTTGAGGTGAAGCCGCAGGACCTGAGGCAGTTTGTGGACCATCAACTTTTTCTGTGCTTCAGTCAGCGTGACTGGTTTGGAGGAGGTCCGGCGTCGAACAGCTGCACGCAAGAGGACAAGAGGAGTGAGTGAACACGTAATACAAAATCATACAAACACCACTCTGCTGCGTGTCGTCTGATCTTTGCTGCAGTTTTGCGACCAGTGGCAAAGAAATATATATAATATAAAATATATAAATGTTAATGTTGCACAACATCTGAGAGGCTGTAATCAGAGATTTGATGAAGTTTAGCAGGAAAAAAAAAACATTCTCATCTACTCCCTCCTTTTATCCAGATAATGACTAATGACTTCAGTAATGACTTCTAAATTAGGACAAAGGTGTAAATATTTTCTATGAAATACTAACTCAATATTATCAGGGACAGTTAGGGGCATTTTTTCGATCCAGAGAAATTCCACCACAATCCAAAATTTCTTTAAATTAAATCAGGTTAATCACTGATTTCAATTAGATTATTGGAATACTATTATATCCTTAGAGATAACTTAGTTTAATCATATTCCACACCACTCACTCAGCCTTTCTGAAAATGAATGACAATATGTGTTTGGACAAAGCATCATTATCTCTGCACAAATGACTTACTGCTTTGTTTCTGGCATTACAACCACACCTCTAAAAACAGGGGACTTAATGGCGTCTGTGCAACTTAATGCTTAAGACAGTGACCTCTGTTTCCAACCAGGTCCGTTAGTTAGTTGCCATTTTTTCATTTTCTACCATCTCTTTCTCTAAAGGGTAAAAAGCCTAATAATAATAATGATCTCAAAAAAAGGGGGGAAGTTATAATACAATAATTCAACGCCAGACAAGTTGGCTGTTAACTTGATGATGTTCCACTACAATTATTTTGTTTTTTCCACACTCGCTGTTTCAAGTCCTTCAAGGAACCATGATATGCTATACTCAAAAGCAACCTAGGATCTTTATGGCAAAAGTAAAAATGTCCATATTTTAGTTTTTTCCTCTCCAAACCGGCTTCATAAATGTTCAGGAAGTAGAACATTTAAATTGGGGAAGGAACAGAAGAGACAGACCATGTCATAATAATCCCAGTTATAAATGTGTTTATATCAGTGTGAAATACCTGACATAAATCTTAAAAGATAAACCGTGTGTATGTTTACATTATTCAACTCACAGTTACACTGGTCACAGGCGTAGATGTTTCCCTCCAGCGCTTCAGTCTCTGTGAACTTGGCCAGCATTTCCGTCAAATGGCACGAAGCCTGTGCAGCCGACTCCCTGCTATTACTGTGATACCGCTCGGGGAACTCCAGAGACAGATCCCAGAAAGGCTCCACAGTGTTGGAGCGATGGTCGCACGCCAGGCACGTCACCTGCATGGGTGAGAGTGAGGGAAATAAAGAGATGAGTGGGTCACAGGAGAAGGGTATGGTGGTATATTAAACATATAATCCAACCGTTGTGTAAATATTTCTCTTGTAGCTGTCCTGTGTGCCTTCCTGTCTGTTTATACCATCTCTAAACTACAAAAAGTAAAGTTCATGAAGAATACAAACTTAAACTGTCACACTTTAGGCATAGTGATTACTAGTTTAGAGCCACAGGGCGGAGATCCCCTCAAAACCCTTGCAGACACACAGCCCCTCTATTCAGCATGAGCAGGTGTCACAGTGTGTGCTCAGCCTCTACAAGTAGACACCGATCTCTTGTCCTCACACTAACCCTCCACACTCCCTGCAGCCTCTTCTATCAGCTACTTGATACGATGCTGAACTTGGAAGAACCTGACAGATTCATGTCCATGAATCCAAGTATTATCATTTTAATCAGCTGATGCCATGTCAGTGAGTGCACAACCAGGACGTGCAATAAAACCTTTGGTGTGTAAACAAGTGTAAAGTCTTTTTTTTTTTTTTTTTTTTTTAAATGAGTTATGTTAGTTATTCTTGGGAGAGTGAAGTGGAACTATTACACTTTCGGTTTGACACTACAACACTAGAGCTGAGACATCACAGAAGACAAAAATACAAACATTTTGATGAAAGATGAAAAGATGAAAATCTTGTTTATTCTACTCGTTTATGTGAGAACAGTTTTGTCGAACAATTACAGTGAATAGAAACAAAAAAAATCCCCAAATAAACCACTAAAGGAGCATGAATGCAAGTGATTAAGACAATATTTATATAACAATATTTGGACATGAATAATGAGAGTGAAAAATAATATGAGAACTGAGAATGGAAAATAATTAAAAGACAATAAAACAATAAACAACTGTATGAAATCCGTCCAAATCAGACCTTGAAAATATACTCAAATTATATTTCATGTCAGTGTTGGAAGATTAACCTTCACTTAAGGATTTTAAGAAAGAAATCCATCAAGGCTAATTTAATCTGATTTATGAATTAAGCCGTACTCTGGTTTAGCTGAAGGGTGACACATGGGTAGAGCGTGCAGGATAGTAACGTCATAACCTGCCCACTCACTCGCTGTGAACTCTCCGGACAATTACCTGCTCTATTCAAACATCAGCTCAACTGAATATTAAACAGACTTTGCACTTTGGCGCTGGCAGGGTAAAGTCCGGTTAACGCCCGGTTCAACTGGTGCGGGCGTTTGCGTTCCCACGTATAGCTCCACTGGGTAATGTCTAGAGAGGTTCAGGGTTGCTGTACATGTGTGAAAGCAGCTTTTGTGATACAGTTCAGCCGGAGCCCCATGATGGCTGTTGAATTATCAATGCAACCAGTATGTGTGGGCAGATCTGAGTGGGTGAGTGGGTGAATGTGTGCGTGCACCAGGAGTGAGTCAGATGAAGCTTGTGATAAATGCTGAGTTACTCACTGGTTGTTAAGTATAGATGATTACAGGTGTGTGTGTGTGTGTGTGTGTGTGTGTGTGTGTGTGTGTGTGTCATACCTGGCTGAGAAGCTGGCCATGAAAGATGGTGTTGACCACACTGAGCACCTGCTTGATGAGTCGTTTCTGTGTCTGTGGGACTCCTGCGCTGGTCGTGTGCGTGCCGGTGCTCTCCAGCTCGTGCTGCACCTTGTCCAGCAGCTCACACAGGAACTCCTGAGCGTCCTGCTGAGCGTAGCCCCTGAAGGCTGGGATCAGCTGCCACACCGAGTGGAGCATGGCAAAAGGTGATACCAGCGCCCACTTTCCGGACCACATGACCTGGAACAAGGTGTGCAGCTCGTGGCAAAGAGAAATGTGCTTTGAACTGGGCTCTTTGGGTTGTATCAGCTCCATGCTGCGGGCCCGTGATGCCCCGCCACTCAGCCCTGCCCCAGAGCATGAGCTGCTCTGGGGTCCCTTCCTCTGGGACAGGAGGGGGGACTGGGATGAGGCCTTCCCTGCCAGTTGACCGTGGACGGCAGATGCCAGTAGTTCCAGTGCCTGGGTGAGGTCCAGGCGCAGAAAGCATTCCCTGAAGACATGTAGGTGACTCAGCACCTGCAGGATGGAGTTCATATAACAGGTGTTTCCTAAATTCCTAAGGCCTGTCACTCCGGGGGTGACTGTGGGACGCCGCTTAAAGGGGGAGCCACCCTGTTTGGTACTCTGCTTGCGGCGGGAAGGTGTTTGGGCAGTACGTGGGGTCGCTGAGGGCGTTTTGGGCTTTGATTTGGTGGTAGAGGAGCGGCTCCGGAGCTTGGTAGTTGGTTGGACCTTTTTTGTCCGTCTAGCTTTTTTGGGGGTAGCAGCGACAGGACTTTGAGTCCGTGGCCTGCGGGTGGGAATCTGGGGCACAGGGGTTTTCGCCTTGTTGTTCTGAGATGGCGTTGTAACTGCCGCATCTGCAACTCTCTGGCGCTTCCGACGTAAACGCCGACTCTTCCTCAAAGGAGCATTCCCCAGCTCCTCCTGTAGCTGCCTCTTTAGAGCCCTCCTCCTCTCCCTCGCCTCCCTTTTCTGCTCCTCCTCCTCCTCTCTCTTCCTCTCCTCCTCCTCCCTCTTCTGTCCACATTCAGTCAGTCCAATCCAGAAGCGAAAGACACGTCCCATAAGCGCCCTGCGGCGGTGCCAGAGGGCAGTAAACATCCTGTCCTCGTCTCTCAGCTGCAGCTCGCGGGCACCAGATGGCATGAGGGCGTCAGGGGCAGCACTAGCAGAGCGGAGGGTGCGCCCACTGCGGGTTGTAACCTCGTAGCGTTGGCTCTGAATGGCGCTGAGTGTACTACGAAGCAGCTTGAGGTCTCCGGTGGCGTTATCATTCAGGACATAGTCGTCACACAAATAACAAAAAACATAAAGTTCATTAACCTCCATAGCCAACGGGTGGTGCTGCTGCTGGAAGTGCTGCAGAGCATGTTCCTCGATGTAGCGCCCGCACGCCACATGAGCACAGCCCAGGCAGGCCCATATGGACTCGGTGGTGTTGCAGTCGACGCAGTGCCACTTCTGGGGGTTGAGGATGGAGTGGTCTGGGGCCAGCCGCAGCCGCCCAACATGCTTACACCTGTCCATTACACACGCCTGCCCACCGAGCTGGCTGACTGTGTCAGTCAATAACTGACAGTCTGTGTGAGTCTGGGTGTGCGTGTCAATGTTTCACACTAGCTTCATATCACCATGGTGACCATGGTTAGCTGAGAACTGGGACCCTTCCAGGGCATGGTGGTGTCTAGAGCAGAGAGAACAGGTCTGGTTAGTCAAAACAGTGTGTGTTTTATATTTTAAAAATCTATTAAATTTAAAAAAATATATATTTTCCCCATTGATGCACATTTGGTGGTTTCTTACACCATAATGACATCCTATTCTTTTCCTTCAAACATATCAAGCCACACAATAAAATTATAATCTCAAAGTCACGACATCTGACCTCCAATGATTCTGTTTTATGAGGCCATAGCTACACAGTTAACTGGCAAACTGCCAGGAGGCATTAATATTTCCCTACAGTAACATAGGCCAACAGTGAACTCACTGGTTGATAAACATGACTGCGCTGAGTGTTGCCAGACACTTCCACTCAAAAGCAGAAAGGTGTGTAAGTAACGAGGACTGTTAAACCTGGATGTGAGAACATCAACAAGACAAACCTCTTCCTGAAATAGTCACTAAAAAAAACTCAGTGGGCGCACTGACAGTAGCAGGATGATTTTACATGGATATGACGATATTTTCCTCTATTAAAAAAGCTCCCTAATGCGAGGGACAGCTAATACACCATGAAGAAGCTCCAGGATTTGCCTCTTGATTAAATCCCAGCCTTTGTTTTTTAAAGCTTCTAACTGCAAGAGAGTTGTTCAAAAGCAGAAAACCCAAAAATCTGTCTCCATGCAACCTCCTCTGGCTTCTTTTCACATCCCGGGGGTTGGTGTACCTCAGCTGACAAAGTGTGGATCCTTGAGTGGGCTGAGCCTTATCTAGCCCCCCCACCCTACTGAGGTCAAAGAAGTAAGATTATCCAACAAAAGGGGGACTGGGCTTGCAAAGTGCTGCGCCTTTTGTCTGGGTACAGAACTACCTTTTCTGCAGTAATGGAAGACAGGACACCAAGGAAAGAAAATTGACTGATGGATAATGGTTTAGATGACAGAGAGGGAAAGTGATGAGATGCTGGAATAAAGGAGGATGAGCAAACAAGGTCTCTAACCTCAGAAATGTCTAGTTAGAACTATTAAGCAGTATTATTCCTTCATTTCATTAAACACATTAAAAAAGCAAATCAAGCATGAGGCGTTTGTTTACCAGTTATATTGTGGGAGTGGGCGTGTTTATTCAATAAGTGTTGATCAGACTGTGCTGCTATGAGTGCCTGCAGGCACTGTGATATAAATAAAATCTCAGTGCTGTCAAGGATCCAAGACAGATCCTGCCGAGTTGATAACTAACCACATGTCTTGCTAAATCGTACAGCATGACATCCTTAAACGCGGAGCCTTCAGTTGGAATCGCATCATGATAAGCAATAAACAAGACATTGACGTGGTACTTTTCTGTCTCTCTAGTCAGCAACTTTGATAAGGATAATCCGCATTATAAGTTACTGTAATCACCATATGGCTTTAGGAACAATGGCACTCAGTTGATATGTAGAAGAAGTGCTGTCTAATAAAGCAAACAATTCGAGAACTCAGTGGAGAGTTGCTCCAGAGTTTGTAATGTAACTGAAGTTTTACCAGCAGCTTAGCGCGCTTCGCCTGGTTTGTCCTTGTGACTGCATGGTCTTAAGTGGCTGTACACCTCACCGCCTCACATAAACTCTGAGTAAAAAAAAGCCACCGCATGCCACGAACAGCCAGCGTAGCCGTTAAACAAACTGCAAAACGAGAGACACGATAAGGTTGACAAAACGATTCAACTTTAAAGCCCATCTCCCACAGCTAAGGTGAGCTAGCCACGGCTAACATGTAATTGATACAGCTATAAGGAGTTGCGATTCCAAAATACTGAAATCAAACACACAGAAAATATAAAATGCCATAAAAAACCTCAAAAAATAAATGTCTAATATAGCTTAAAATAAAACTAGAGCCTACGCAAACAAGCGCCACATACGTTGGCTCTACCGCTTTTATTGTATTTATTACAGAGAGCAGAGAGCCCTAGCTAAGATTAGCCTAGCATGCTAGTTAGCATTAGCCAGCCAGGGCTAGCAGCGATAATCCTAACAAGTTCATGCGTTAGCCGGAGGTCAGCTCCCGGAGCGAGGCACGGCTTCCAAAAGAACCCAACCTGCCGGGTGGGTTCTAACGAGAACGAATGTACCATCATCTCTTCTGTAACATATGTACCAGGGAAATCACTGTATAGAAAGAAAACACCGTACCGAGCCTCTCCTTCATGGCAGTAACTCCTCTGTTTCTAAAATGATCGCCATCTTGTCAGTCCCTGTCGCGTGGTGTTGGCTCGAGCGCGTCCTCGATACGTGACGTGTTGTTGTTGTTGTTGATGATGATGTTGTGGTTGAAGATGTTTACTCATCTTCTGTAAAAACAATATAATTTTAGCTGCTCTTGATACTAGTAGTTCAGTGTTAGTTTTATTGTAGTTTAAGTGATTTGTCACGTGTTTGGTATTCCTGTCAGTTATTGTTACATGTACTAAGAGTACAAGTAGTACTCCTCATTTATTTTGTGTAGTACAGTGGCGGAGGAAGTACTCTCAATACTTAAAGAATACCGGTCAATATATTCTACATTTTTCTTTTAGTTCTTTTAGTCAATAAATCCCTTAAAATGAACAAATAGCCAATCTAATTGATAAAAACAATAATACAGCTCCACTGTTGCCCCAAAACTATTAAAACAGTAAGCCACAACTTTGCACTCATGTTCCTCTATTACAATACACACGGGCATTGTGGTTTATGTTGAGTCAGTTCCACACACACCATGGTGCTACACTGCTACTGTAAAGACTCACAAGCACACCAAATCAAATTAGTTCTGCAAAAATGCACAATTTATTCCTGTCTGAGCAACATTTGCTAAAACCCACAGTGAGCAGCTGTTGAGAAATATAAAAAGACACCAGCCACATTATTAACATGAATTTGTAACTAAACCAGAGACTAAAGTTGTCAAAAGTAGCAGAATAAAAAGTAGAATATTTGCCTCTGTAGTATAGTGGAGTAAAATTGAAAAGTAGCAGAGGATGGATATTCAAGTAAAGTACAAGTACATAAAAACTGTACTTAAGTACAGTACTTAAGTAAATGTACTCAGTTACTTTCCATCACATGTGTAGTTCTTATAGAGTCACTTTTCATGAGAATAATCATCAAGCCAAAGAGATAAAAATCACTGCTTTGCTCTGATACTGAAATAGAAGCAGTGAGATTTTACACCACTAGAGGGGAGTGTCGTATTATCTATACTCAAGTCTTTCACCGACGACTTTTAACTGCTAAACCATTATAGTATTTAACCACCTCTGGATAATTGATGGATTTGATTTATTAAACCTATGCTGTGCTTGTCAAATGATTTGGTTTCAAGTCTATTTTATATACAAAGTCCCATAATTACAAATCACAAATCTGTCTTTGGCTTTACCAGGTGGGGGTTGCCTTCTTGGACCTGCCTCTATCCATACATCATCCCAATATTTTCTCATTTTCAGACATTCCCACAATCCCACATAAGTCTTAGGAGTAATGAAGACTAAGTATATATTTCCAACAGTCTGGAGCTGGTGTTTGTTTGCTGCACCAGTCGTCTTTGTATGTTGAGTTTCCCATTTATCTCTGATACAGTGTGCTGTCTGCTGTAATGCCTTCATGTACCCATTATTTAAACCTATTCTTTTTTCATATTTGACATCATGTTTTGTTATTGCAGGAACCAAAACTAAACTGCTCATCCACTCTGTATTTTCCTTAACATACGGAATATTTTAATTGCAGATGCCTCCGTTTCTGCCTCCATCTCTCTCCATCTGCAGCTGCCCGTCTCAGGTAATGTGATCTTCCAACTATGCCAGTTTTTTTCCTTAACTTTAAGCCCCCTCTCTTCCATTTTTATGGATCATAAGTGTGTGTGTGTGTGTGTGTGTGTGTGTGTGTGTGTGTGTGTGTGTGTGTGTGTGTGTGTGTGTGTGTGTGTGTGTCTGTTGCCCTGAAGTTTAGGAACCAGGTATTTTAAAGTCTTGTGTGCTGGTGTGAGATGCAAATGTAGCACTTTATGCTGGTTAATGGGGGCTGCTGGCACTCACAGTGTAGATGCTATCAGTCTAAGATAGTGTTTTTATAAGAAAACAACACTTGTACTGTCTCTACTCTAACATCATCAACCACAATGGATAAAAATTTAACCATTAAATGCTAAATTGTACAAGAAAATGTTGTTATTATAACCCATTATGAATCCCAATATAAACATGACAGTAATTTCACATTAGGTAAACATCTCTGCAAGAGTATGAAGGGAGGAGGAGAGTTTCATTCAGGAAACTGTGCCTGAAGGAGGACGTTTCATCTCATCACACGCACGTGAAGAATCCCTCTCATGCACTGATTAGTGGGGAGCTGATCCATACAAGCTCTCTTAAACCTCCACCGAACAGGGGTGAGTGTGGTAGTAGGTGTGTGTGTGTGTGTGTGTGTGTGTGTGTGTGTGCGTGTTCGTTTTTATTTTTTAATGCGAGTGCGTTTATGACAATGGACCAGAGGCTTGTGTGAGAGAGATTAAGGCGCATTTGTGAGTGACTTAGAGAAAGAGGTATGTGTTGATGTGCCATGCGATGCCTGTGAATCACCTCTAATGTTTTTCTCCCTCTATGTCCCCGGGCCTTTCCCGCCTTCATGTCCACACATGCTAACCCTCCCTCCCTCCCTCCCTCCCTCCCTTCCTCCCTCCCTCCCTATCCTCTTTTCATCTGCACTCTCTCTCACTCATACACTCACATTTTTCTGTTACTGTACTTGCGAGGACCCCATGTTGATTCACTAATGTCTTTTTAAAGCTGCATTCATCACTAGTTTTCATTTTAAGATTGAATCAAATGACCTCGGCTGTTGCTTGTAGTGATTTATCCAAAGAGTTATATATCAACCTTGTAGCCTGTCCTTGCTTTGGTGCTTCTTTTAGCTCATTGTTTTGTTTTTACGGCATATTTACTGAATGGTTCAATGTCACTTTCCTCATGAGCCCTTGTTCTCAGGAAACAAGCAAATAAAAACCCAGTGCACTCGACCTGCTCAGAACCAAACCATGCACCCAGCTTTAAAGTAGAAGTCTGATATTTCCACGTAATTAAAGGCACCATCAGCGTTATGGAGCAATGTTTTGACAAGTGGGCCAGCGTTTTGTTTATACTGTGCAACCGACCACAAGGACACGGGCGGTGTCAACAGCTGGTGGCAGCACTGCGCCAAGAAGTGTGATAAACATGTTTGTTAGACGTCAAGGATACACACAATATGTTTCAGATAGAAACTATGAATGCAGTTTGTTTTCAAGAAAAAACTCCACCCTTTTTTTATTATTCCCTTCTGTCGTCTGGTAGATCTCCTGTTATGTTTAGGGCAGCAGCAACAATTTTTTGTTTTGAATAAATTTTGCATGACTGAACAAGACACATAAATGCATCAACAGTGGAATCTGATTGCAAAGATGGAAGTGTTCACCTGGAAGTTACAGAAAAATAAAGGAGGATTTTACACAATACCAGTACACACTGTGGCTAAACCATAAACCACAGAGCGCTAACCTTATACCATTATCTTGCAGAGAAGCTGCGGTGGCCTTCAGGTATCACTCTAAGCTATGAAAACTTGATCCATAGTTTCAGGTGATTATACACGAATGAAAACAATAGATCCCCATAAACCCGACACACTGGTCCTTTAAAAGAGTTTCTCCTTGTTTCAAAACCTGGGTCTGGTAAGGATAGAAATTCAGAAGCGTGCTCACATAGAAACATGTGGCTTTGCAGCCCGTTTTCAGTGAGAAGAGGTTGATCATTTCAGTGAAAGGAAGCCATTCCGGTGGTTTCATGGTGGTGTAAACGCAGCTGGATACGGTGTTGGTTTTGTGGCAGGTGAAAACACAGGTGCTGGTGAAGCCAGAGGAAATGCTTTACAGCCTGTACACAAACACATCTCCTGTAATTTCTCCTCTTGAGATTTTCAGCCTGAATGTTAACGTTGGCGACTTGACAGCTTCTGAGGTTTAATCTGTTTTTTAAAAGAGTGTCCCGACTTGTCGTGAGAGGCTGTTTTTCCTCCCCGGACCGTCTGCCTGTTGTCACGTTGACGTGTGGGTTCGTTCATAATGACTCGATGACATCAGGTCCTTGTTTGCATGGCTGTATAATAATCAGCAGTAGCGTCTCAATCACTCTGCTATGTCAACATGGTCCTCCCTGTTCTGGCTTGCTCCGATGCTCCTCAGGTAGAAAAACATTCCTGATGCGTGTGTGCATGCATGTGTGTGTGAGTGTGTGTTTTCATGTGCTATAAAGTAAAACCAAAGAGCATGGATGGTTTCTGAGGACAGAGCTGGATATTTTTAGCTGAAGGACTCCAGTGAAGGACGTTCAGGCTTCCTTTGCCTCAATCTTCTCATTTCCTCTGTAAGTGAATCACAGCTGATGGGATAATACTGAACACATGACTCACTTATCCAGCACACGCTTCCTCTGACCATACGGCAAAGAACAAAAAAGATTCCCTCTTTCCATATTTTCTGCCTTTACTTCGCTCCTTCTACTCTCCTCTGGAGCCTCCTTAGATAACCAGCTGACAAACCTAACATTAGATTGAAGATTAAAAGAAGTGATATGGAATAAGGTCGACATATCTGACCTGAAACTTGATAAATGCTGTCTAATAATGATGTGAATCTTGAAGAGGTTGAATTACAATCCACAAGAATAAAACAACATTCCCCAAAATATGAAACACAACGCCAATAATATCGACTAAGTCAGTAAATAACGTCAAGAAACCACGTTTGTCGCAGAGATAACTTATATATAGCCCCTTTAATTCATTAGGAAACTCCTCCAATGGGCTGTTTGATCATTTCTGGAAGAGGCTGCAGATCACCTGCAAAATCTCCTTATAGACAGCTTATTAATATTTACAACCACAGGCTTGATAAATTGTAGAACCCAAGAATGTATTAACATTCAGCCTATAGTTACAGGTGACTGACTAACTCTTAGCAAAATAGATCCAACCCATACTTACATGATTGATTTCTTCTGACCTATGTAGTCCTGGTTCCACATACAGCATGACTGTCAGATGCTATTTCCACATCTGGACCAATTCTGGCGCCCGTACAGAAAATCTTATGTTTGTCAACCAATATCAAAATAAAGGATACGAGCAGAAATCTGCACAGACGTGGAAGTATATGGGCCAGACTTGGGCCGAGGACCCC